GGAATGGCCTCATGTTGTGCCAGGGGAAGTTCAAATTGGATATTAGGAAGAATTTATTCTCCAAAAGAGCAGTTAGGTACTGGAATGGGCTGCCTGGGGAGGTGGTTGTGTCAGTGTCCCTGGAGGTGTTCAAGAAAAGCTTAGATAATATACTAAGGAATACAGTTCATTGGGGAAATATTGGTGGTGGACGACCACCATATTGGAAATTGGAAATACTGGTAGATGTAGATGACTGTACTAGATGGTATAGGAGGTCTTTTCCACCTTGATGATTTTATGATATAGTTCATTTGGTTGTAGAATTAATCTTCAAGGAGGAAAGAAAAAGGTAATCTGATTAAAATATTTGCTAAGTGTTCCAACCGTTGTCTTTCTGGTGCATCTCTTCAATTCACTAAAAATAAAAGGAAGAAGGAAGTGTTTTCAGTTGACAGTTTCTTTGAGTATTAAATTTTACTTGGGATTTTGCCATTTTGACTTATCAGATATTTTTCCTTAGCATCTTACCATCTACATTTTAATGTTTGCTGTATCTATTTTACTATATACTTGTAAATAACTTTTGGAAAGACAACTAACAAATATTGTAGGTGTGAGTTGTCAGTGGAGGGCTGTATATTGATAGTGAAGTTTGGATAGGCAAACGTTTGATTCACATCTGTTTTGGTATCTGCTGCATATCTTCTCCCTCAGTGTTTGAAAAGTGTGCAGACTCAGAGTTTAGGTATAGCTGTAAGCTGTACAAGGCATAGATTTACTTTAGCTCAGTTAAAAAAAATTACGTTTTAAGAGACAAGATCTACAGTTCCCCAGAGTTCAGGGGGTTTTGAGTTTTCTTGTTTTTCATCAGGGTAATTTTTTGTGCCATTTGGAAGGTTTTCCAACCATACTTTAAGCTCACTGTATTAAAACAAGATAAAAAGACATAATTCTGTCAGTGCTGTAATACTGTTTTATTTTAGTGATTGCTATTTCAACACAGTGTTCGCAGAGTGACAAGTGGTTTTTCCTTGAACGCAAAGATGAATAATGACACATACTTCAGCAGATACATACACTTCCAAAGAACCTATTACTTAGTGGGAAAGCCTATCAGAAACAGGTTGCATTAGGTACCTTGGTTTGGTCTCCCAAGCAGGGGAGGCTGAGAGACCTCATGGCAGCTGCAACTCTTCAATGGGAGCAGAGGGGCAGCACTGATCTCTGCTAGCTGGTTACAATGAAAGAACCAGAGGGAATGGCATGGAGCTGTGTCAGGAGAGGGGCAGGTGGGGTTAGGGGAAGGATCTGCACCAGAGGGTGGTGGGCATGGCCCCAAGCTGGTGGTGCTCAGGGAGTGCTTGGGCAATGTTCTTACATTTTGGCTTTTGGTTTTGGGTGATGCTGTGTGGAATCAGAAGTTGGACTAATAGGACAAGGGAAAATGGCTTTAACCGGGAAGAGGGGAGATTTAGGTTAGATATTAGGAAGACAGTTTTTAATCGTAGGATGCTGAGGTGCTGGAACAAACTCCCCAAAGATGTTGTGGATGCCTCATCTCTGGAGGCAGTCAGGGCCAGGCTGGATGGAGCTCTGGGCAGCCATGGCAGGGGATTGGAACTGGATGGGCTTTAAGGTCTCCTCCTTAAGCCTTTCAGTGATTCTATGACTCCGTGGTCCTTATGTGCCCCTTCCAACTCAGGATGCTCAATGATTCTGTTATCCACATATTCTGTAGCTACTTTTGCATGCTTGGATAATTGGCAGTTTGAGATAACAAGTGGATAGCTTTTTGTATCCACTGAAATGTCTCACAGCAAAAATGTCAATGCATCCACAGCCCTCTGAGTTGTGAGTCAGGCCCATGGTTAAGAAACCAATCCTTTCACTTCTTGCTTTGGTTTATAAAGTTCTGCTATTGTGCTCCCACTGCAAACAAACTGCACTATGGAAGGATTTTCCTAAAGTCTCCTTTTACTCCTTATATCATAAGTGTATCCTCTTATCATTTTACCTTGAAGTATTTTTTCATGCATTTCTAGAGAAGAAAGAAAATACTTTTTCCTGATGAGTACAAAACGTTTATGTGGTTTTTTTTTCCCTTTATCTTTTTTTTTTTTCCTTCTTCACATTTTTGACGTAGTACGATCATGATTTTTTTTGTAATAGAAAAATAAAAACCAAAAAACTTACCTTCTAATTTGGTACAAAGTGCATTTTGTACTGCTACTTAATATATTCCCGAAGCAGGCATGCACTGCAATCCCAGAATTCATCCTCCCCAACCCTGCAGCTGAGTTATTACAGAGGCTTCTGTTAGTTAAATGTTAATTCTTTATATATGCAGAGTTGGGGAACAGGGAACACATAGCTCAAGTAAAAAAGTTGTGGTCTGGAAAGCCAGCTAATCTTTTGGATGGTTCTTCCCTTGTGCAATGTCCTTGAGCTACATCCTCTTGTACGTAGATTTCTTAAGGAGTAGCTGATATTCTTGGGCTACCTCAAGGGAAAAAAGGTCTTTGAGTATGAATAAATTTTTCTATAGATCCACTGATATTCTGGTATCAGCATGGAGCATCTTTATGGATATGCATTATCCTATTGTGTCAGACTGAAATTAGAATTCTCTTTTTTCCTGATTTTTTTTTTCCCCTTGAGTTAGCTCATTTGTATGGAAGAAATTAATAACTTTCACTATAGTTTTTCTACCTTTCTCTGAAAATACCTTTGTTAACTAAGCATCCTTTTTTGATATAACTTTCTTCTTTCTTTGTAATACTTTTTATAAATACTAAGAATTAGAATAGGAATTTTTAAACTGGAACTTTTTATCCTTTTTGGCTTCCTCCCTCTATTCTTTTCATATCTTGATGCAGTTGCCATCCCCATCACTCTTGCGGTGTCACTCTCCAGTGATCCCACTGTATTAATCCTGGAATTGCCTCTTCAAGGTAAATTAGATCATCTTTAAGGTTCAGAGAATGATTGCAGGATTTTATTACTGGGCAAGCCACTGACCTGATATTATTTCCTCAAAGAGAATATCCTGGGCTTAGTTTCCAGTATGCATACTTGTTCTTCATGATTTCAGTACATCTGGCTGAAGTCAGTATTTTACTCTTTCCTTCAATTTCTTTTCTGTCATACACCTCTGGCAAATTAGATTTAGCACTGTCCACCCTATTCCCCTTAGAATTTTAGTTAGCTTGTTGCTAAATACCCAGTGCAGTGCAATTGTATGTATTTGATTTCTACGTCATTATTTGTCTGAACCGAAGTACTCTGATTACATTAATTTTTGTAAAGCACTGTTATGTATCTGCAAACAAAACTACACTATGGGTCAAATCTGTTTGGTTACGATTATAAAATAGATATACTTTTGGCTGCAGACTCTGAGTATGATCCGTGTTTCACAGTCATTTTGTACCCATACACAGGGCAGGTGAATAAGGTAAATACACGTGATTATTTTTGTGCCTTTGGGCATAATCTAGACATATCGTAACATTTTGCAGGTGGTAGGGAAGCTGGAACTTGATGATCCATGAGGCTCCTTGCAACCCAAGCCATTCTCTGATTCTGTGATTTTGTGCCTCATGTTCTTGATGATGACAAAACCATAAAAAGCTACTCCAAGACCACAGCTAGAAGTTCTTGCAACATGTGGAGAATTGGACAAGTGATAGCTAAGTAGTCATCTCTAGCTTCATACCATGTGTCCTCTGGATTAAGTGACCTTCTTGGTGGGATGGGGACATGGGCAGATGGAGGCCAGGTGCCCTCCTACAGGCAAGTGGGGATTGTTCTGCTTTGTGTAGCTTGAAGGAGATCTGCTCTGAGCCACCTGTCAAGGACATTGTGAACTAGGGATTCCTTGTCTCACTTTTCCCTCTTGCTTTACTCAGTCTTGTCCATATGAACATCAGCAATAAGTCACCTGTGCGAGGAGTATGCAAGAAAGAGCCCAGTAAGGAACAATAAAAAGTGTGTGACCAAGAGATACCTGGCAGGGCATCTTCAGTCCTGTTTAAAAGAGATGGTTATTCCAGTGAGGAGAATGTAGTGCCATGGAAGTCCACCCACCAACCTTCTGTCTTAGGGAAAGCTTTTTGCTGGAGAAAGGGAGAAATGCCTTAGATGAGTCCCCTCCAAATAAGAAGGGAAAAATTGTAAATATGGAGAGACCATATGGTGTAATTTGATGCTATACAGAACAAATGAGGCTTCATCCAAAGTGATGGAGTTAATTTTGGATGTGACTTGCTTCGAGTTTTGCTTATTAACATATTGCTAAACTAACATTTTACTTGATCATTGATTTTATACCTGGCACTGCAGATGCAGGTACCTAAACCAGATGTCATTTCTTGCTGTCAGGTTTCCAGGAATTCAAGACAGTTTCTGCTTAGTGCTCCAATTTATAATATTCATAGCTTAGTGTGTGAGAAATACCGATGGTCAAGTACCTGCTTTGATTTTATTTATTCAGAACTATACTGATCCTCTGAAAAAGAACTTCAGGAGTAGATACTTCTGTCAGTACCAGAGCCTCCCAGATCTTAGGCCAAATTCTTCTTTACACAAAACCAGGTTCTGAAATTAGCTATTCTTTTTTTCTGCAAGGTTGAGCAGCTTCCGTTAGTATTCATATACAAGCCTTTGCTCTGCTTAGCAATTTTTTCAAGACTTGTGGGTGGGTGGTGATGGAAAATTGTATGTTTTGTGCTTCTGATACTGCTGTGGATAGTGACAGGATGAAAACCAGCATTGCATAGACTGTGACATAAAGACAGAGCTAGTGATATCTTTTCAGATCTGGAAAAATATTCCTATTCTGGCAGGTTTCTCTTAATACCTAATGAGCAAAGAAGAGAACAAAAGAGTAGCAGAGGAGTAATGAAAATGGATAGTTATACAAAGTGATCTTTTATTTGTTTATTTACTTATTTTCCTCAGAGCATTTCTGTGCTGAAGCCTTTAGAAGAAAGTACTTACAGATGTTTGATTTCTTACAGGTCCTCAGATTTTGGGACATTATACACAAAGTTGAATCTACAGCCTGGGATTGCCACTGTTATTGACAATTTCTACATTTGTCCCACCAACAAAAAAAAGGTATGTGGCAAAGAATGGTGTTTTATATTGCAGAGGAAACTGCAACTATGTATTTGAAATGTTTTATCGGCTTTAAAATATAGGGGAATGTTTTTCACCAAGTAGCTGGTCACCCTAATTTTATCTGTGATGTATCAGACTGGAATATTTCCTATTGTTGAATAATATACAAGGGGAAAAATGGCATGAAAACTTTTGTGGCCACTAACTTCTGGGGATCGCTTTTCCATAGTGGTTTCCACAGAAAGGAAAAAACAAATGCTGTAGGTTTTCAAACATCCACACAAATGTCGGGTCAAGCATACAACCTCTTCATTCTTTTTATATGATTTCAAAGTCCTTTTGGATGTTCCTGATTATTAAGTATAGGAATGGGACAGTCTGTCATTTGGAATGATGTTTATCCTCTACAAAACCTTAATTAAAAAATAACAAACACCTCTCCTTCAAGCTCTTTCTTAAAAAATGTTCCCACATCATTACTGAACCAAGAAGCTTTTCATGGCTCTTTAAAAGATTAAGTGGACTTTATAAGTGAGAATGAAATCGACCCATTGAGTATATTTACAATGGATGCTATATAAGAACCAACAAGAAGAGTGATTATGAGGAAAAAAACAGTAACAACAACCCTTCTATGTCTGCAAAATTTAAACTGCAAGAATAGTGAAATACATTGTGAATAACACAAACGCAGTGGGTCTTTTGTGAAGTAAGAATTTTCTCTTGATAGGGGCCTTTTAACTACAGTGTAATACAGAAGAATTGATTTCATGCAGAGGCCAGTGATTGGAAGGACAGTGCTAGTTGTGATTATCTGTCTATTCTGCTTAATGAAAAATCAGTGGAATTTGGTGAGGCTGCCTGGATGATTAAGTACATATTTCATTTCTCTTGCAATTGTGACTGTTTTGTGTGTGTGTGTGTGTGTGTGTGTGTGTGAGACCAAGCTATACTATGCCTAGGTAACATATTTTTAATCTGCTTCAAAGTTAGAAATTATTTCTTGGAGTGGAACTACCACCAAACACGTGAAGATTCTGCGCAGTGTTTGTCTCAAAGCTAAGATTTACTGTTTATTTCAAGTCCAAAAAGAATTTTTAAAAATCTTTACCCATTTCAGTTTCTGGATTGAAAACTAAAAGGTTGAGAGCTCAGTGGGAAAGTTTTCCTATCTCACCCAGGTAGAGCATAAAAGCATGTACAGTGTGCCAGTGACTGTGTGATTGTGCCAGTTGTCTGGCAAAATAAACAGTGTTAAGATCACTGCTGAATTTCAAGCCTGAAGGACTCACTGAGGTTTACAAAAAAAATCTCTTAACACTATCTTAGAAAAATGTGTTTTCTACACAAGTCAACTTGAAGACCTTAGAGATATAAATTCAGTTTAGTGAACTAATATTATATTGCAATCCACTTCTTAAAGAGTCTTTTTTTTGGTAGTTATTAAATATGCTATTTTTATGTTGAGTTTTGCTTCTCAGTAGATGGTGTTCAGTAGTATGCAAAGAACAAAAGCAGAAGATCAAAGGATTTCTAGGATCTGCAAGTTATTCCAGAAGGAGATATGTGTATACATGTAAATGTACATATATACCCATGTACATGGTTGTAATAAAGCTGAAAGGATTTGGATCAAACAATGTAGCTGGCATCTTCAAGCTGGTCTTGGAGGGGTTGGGGTCACGCATAGCAAGTAAGTGGGAAATCTCTATGTCACAAGAACTTTGTCATTGGACGCAAACACTACCAGCTGATTTCACAAAAGTCATTTAGAAAGATGGAAAAAATTTCTCCCTTACCTATGTTCTCCAGCGCAGTTGCGTTAGGACAGAAGAAAACATTTGACCTGAGCAGAAGTCTCAGAATTTGACTCTATCCTGATATTACTAGACTTCAGGTTGCTGTGGTGTGAGTTTTCTTCAACCAGCACACGTTTTGAAATATGCCGAAAGTGGGAGCTGTGGTGGAGTGCTGACTGTGCTTCCTGGCACTGAGCATGCACTTTAAATTTAAAGCATAAGTAGTCCCATGCTATCACTTAGTTTTTATGGACTGGGAATGTGCATGAAAGCAAAGATAAAAGCCATTGACGGGGATTTTTTGAATACTTTGGATATTAAATGTTATTCTGTGCTTCCATTTTGTTTACATGTTGTAGACCTCATATGTGGAAGAACTGATACTGCAAACATCATGCTCCGCATTTGTACCTCATTGTCATCAGATCTTTAATCTCATCTGATTTTCACTCTGTAGAGTTTAGGTGTTTTGTCAGCCCTTCTCCTTCTGTAGTCCGTAGAGAAACTTGGGTCCCTCTTGGCAGTTTATCCTATTAAGGTCATAGTTTATTGCACTTACGAAAGTAAGACTGAATGGTCTTGTATGTGACTTCGTTACTCTAGTGGGTGTTCAGTGAGTTCAGCGAGTTCACACAGAGATTTTTTTTTTTAATGGAATTAAATTAAATATTTACAAGAAGGCTCCAGTCTAGTTCTTAGGTTAGCTTTATTTCTTCAGGTTTATCACTGCCTGTATACCAGCTTTAGGAGTGCATTAGAGTTTCACTCAATGTGCTTGCAGTATTTGAGGTAGAATTACACCATAAAGACCAATGAACTTACAAGTGATCTTGATACAGAAAATGTGAAATTGTACTGAAAATTTTTGAACCCTATGAATTGCTCATTTGTACTTTTTTAAGATGAGTCAGAAAAAAAGATTTGATACTTCTTATCTTCCCTGTGCCATTTGTCAAGCGGTTAAAATTCCACAGAATCATAATGGTGTTTATGATTAAATGCATTTGCAAGTGCAGAGGTTAGAACCAGATAGTGCTCCATGGAAAAGGGATTGTATTCAAACAAAACACAGTAAAGCATTTTCAGCATAAGCTATAGGAATGCAGGGGACTTTCAAGTAGCAGGTAGAAGGGAGGAAATCAATTTATAAAGCCCACTGAATCCATCAGAAGTGTCATGTTTGTTTTTCTCCATTACTCTTCTACGAGTGAGTTGCGATGTCCATAGGTCTGCCAGAAGAATCGGTATGAAATTATATCAAGATCATGTCTACAGAATCTTTTGTACATAGAGTTCTCTCTGTCTGGGTCTTGTTCTGTCTGAATGCACCAGAATTCTGATGTAATAATTGTGTTGCTGTAGTTGTCATAGGACTGACTCTAGGAAAGCCAGTTTTGACAAGAAATGATGACAAAGCTCTGAGAATAGAGCTTTAGAGGGCTTTGTGTTGCACTGAATAGCCTTTCTAATGAAATCATGGTGTGAAGGTGTGAGCTGGGCTGTTCTGGGTGTGATTGAAAACTGAACTGTTGTCAGGAAGTAGCACAAAGAGGAGACATTCACTCCTACCTGCAAAAGACCATGTAGGCTCACTCCGAATTGCTATGAGACACTAACTGAAAGTTTACGCTTCCTGAGTATATATTATTATTTGCTTTATGTTCCAGTTGCTTTTAGCATGGTAGAAATCTGCAACCAGAGCCAGAGAAACTATTAATCATGTTGTTCTTAAATGATGCTGGAAAGTTGTAGGGTAATGAGTATGAGATCTCCTATGCGGCCTTTGACAGTAAATTCTGAATTTGAAATTCTTTTTCATTGATCAGTGACATAAAGTAGTCAGTCTATGCAGTCCTTGAAGTGCTGTGCATTGATAAGGGATATTCTTGTACCTGAAACAACAGAGTTTATATAATTATCTTGTTTGCAATAATTACTCTGTGCTGATTGCATCAAGTAGTGCAGACATTCTAGGATGTACCACAGTGAGAATATAATTGGATCTGTATCTTCTGTTTTCCGAACCAGCATTATAACTGTGGTTGTGAAGAGATGCACACAATTCATGGAATAGGAAGTTACACTTTTCATAATGTCAATCTGGAGTCAGCTAAACAAAGTAAATTCTTTTCATAGAAGACAAAAATTAGAAGATTCACGTACACTGAGCTAAATTCATACCAAAACGTAACATTTTTCTAAGTCATATATGCTGCTTGGAGTAGAAGTTACATATTTATTTTAATTCAGTATGAAATTGATGGGGAGGAGCTAAATGAAAATGCTTTTCCCACATTCAGTACATATTTTAATTTTCATTGATGCATATGCATTTGATGCATCTGTTGTTTTGGATATACACTTTTTTGGAAAGTAGCAGATAAGCAGTGTATATTCAAGATTTTCATATTAACAGAAAATAAATGTTTATTGTGTCTGTGTTACTAGATAAATGGGTTGAACAATTACATTCTGATCTGTTGCAATAACCAATAGCTGCATGATTTTCCAAAGTAAGGAGCAAGATGGCAATTGTGTCCTTTTCTTGACAAACCTTGCAGAATACATAAAATAGTAATGAGAGTATAAGTTATCCTGACAATATTTTGTGTCTTGATTCTTTAAAAATTGTATACATTACATGTGATAGCAAAATGGTATTTTCCACTGCTGTAAGTGTTCAAGAAGCATCTGGGTTGAGCAACGTTTGTAGTCATTAACCGGTAAATGTGTTTTGTCCTTTCAGAGCAAAACAGTTGGTAGTGGAAGGTACCAAAAAGCAGCATGGTTGCGTTTACTTGTAAGGAATGATTGTACTCAGGTATCGTTTTCCTTAGAGAGAATGCCAGTGTGTCTAGAAGCATACAGTACAGAATTATCTTACACTTTTTATAAAAGTTGTCTCAGCTAAGAAAGAATGTCTTTCAATAACCTGAGTAGTTTCTTCAGGAAGGTTTCACTTTGAAATTGCAGGATGGCCACTAAGATGACCAGAGGGCTGGAGCACCTCTTCGATGAGGAGAGGTTGAGGGAACTGGGATTGTTTAGCTTGGAGAAGAGAACATTTCAGGGAGACCTCATTGTGGCCTTCCAGTACTTGAAGGGGGCATATAAACAGGAGAGGGAACAGCTGTTTACCAGTGTGGATAGTGATAGGACAAGGGGGAATGGTTTTGGGGTTTGAGACGGGGGAGGTTT